ACCCCACCCCCGCCTTTGGTGAGGACTCAAATTTTGAAGTTAAATTGAACTGTTTTAAGCTGTATATGAGGAAACATTTCTTTCACTGAAGGTAGCCCAACAATGAAATAGGAAACCTTATGTAGATGGCACTCTCTGACACTCAGAATGCTTGAAAGAGAATCGATAACAATATGATTCCTCTAAGGATGAGAGATCTTCCAAAGTCCCTTTAAACATTAGTAGTCACTAATGACCCAGGTTAGTGACAGCTCCTTGTAAAGAAAATCAAAATCCTCACATCTGGACCAATAGGTAACATCATGATAGAGAAAAGATTGAAGTTGTTGAGGATTTTATTTTGTTTGGATTCATAATCAATGCTCTTGGAAGCAGCAGTCAAGAGAGTAAGTGACTAATTGCAGTGGGTAAATCTACTGCACAAGACCTCTTTAAAGTGTTGAAAAGCAAGGATGTTACTTTGAGGCCTATGGTGTTCCTGAGCCAAGCTATATTATTTTCCACTGTGTAATTTGTGTTTCAAATTTGTGTAAAAGTTGAACAATGAATAAGGAAGACCAAAGCAGAATCGATGCATTTGCATTGTGGTGCTGGTGAAGAAGATTGAGGTACCATGGACCGCCAAAGAGCAAACCAATCTGGCTTGGAGGAAGTAGAGCCAGAGTGCTCCTTAAAGGCAAGATTGGCTGTGAGGTAAAAGGTCTTGCTCCTTGTGCAAAGGGGACAGGACCACTACCTTCCATGGCTCATGGCTGGTGGGAGAATGCTGATGGCTCAGGCATGGGAGCTTCCGGCCTGCCTTTCCACCTGAGATAAAATGGATACTTTTCCTCCTGTTCCCTGGCAAAAGCTGCAGAAAGCAGTCCTCTGCATACTTATCAGTTACTTCACGTGCCCAGTCTCATCCTCCCCTCTTGGTTGAAGTGGTAATATTCCTTTGTATACTCCCAAAGAATTGTAAGATCTCCCTTTATGTAATCCTATCACGGTGCAGGTTATGTGCAGGGAATGTAGTCAAGCCTGCCTCTAATAAAGTTCGAGACCCTGAAGTGTCTATACTGCAGGGTCCCCTGCGCCTCAACTTTTGGCTATCCCTTTTGTATATAAGTTTTACCCTTGCAGATAATACCCCTCGAATCCATCGGATTTGTAAGATAAGAGCCGGTCTCTACTTTATGTTACAAATGGCGAGAGTTCACCTCACATTCTTTGGACATGTTGTTAGGAGAACCAAATCCGTGGAGAAGGACTTCATGCTTTGAAAAGTGGAGGGCGGTGAAAAAGACGCAGGCCTTCGAACAGATGGACGGACACAACCAATGATTGCAACAACGGGCTCAAACAGAAGAGCAATTGTGAGGATAGCACCAGGCTGGGCAGTGAATTTTGTTCTGTTGTACAGTGTCATTATGAGTCGGAACCCACTCAACGGCACCTGCCATATCACTGTGCCAAGTGTAGATCTCATTTCAACACCAAAACACAGAGTTAGTTTTCCCTCATATGAGGCCCAGAGTTGTTTAAGCAGGCACCCAAAGTCACACAGCTAAAAGGGTTTCACCCATCCCTGAGGTCCACCACCTGAATCAGATTAACCATCTTCCACAGTCAGGCTCCTCAATGCTGCTCCATTCACACTGAGGTTCCATCTCCATGGACATTTCCATAGCCCTCTCACTAGCTATTGTCTGCTCCCATAATGATTTATAGTCTCCAAAAAACATGAGTCCAAAGAGACGCATTACAGTGATCATAGCAACTTTCGTTGTTGTACTCACATGCTGTCAGACTGGTTAACAAATGTGAGCTAATTATTACGATCACCATTTTAAAAACAAGAAAATTAATACTCAGACAAGTTAAGAGTCAGACCTAAATTCACACAGGGAGTGGAATTCAATTCCAGTTATGTCCACTGACTCCACGCTCTTCCTGAATACATTGACACCGTTAACCTAAAGAATTGCTCCTCAGCATTTCATCTTTTCTCTCTTCTAATCTACCCATCAGATGAGGGCACTGCAGGGCTTTGAACTGGTTCTGTCTGGTTTGACCCCCTCCTGATCATTTACATTTCTACTTTCAAACCAAAAATCAAACTCAATGCCATAAAATCGAATCCAACTGTGTTAGTCTGGGTACTTTAGAGAAACAAATCCACAGAAACTCATGTATAAGAGAGAGTTTTATATAAAGTTTAAGTGCACATCAAGAAAACATCCAAACCCAGTGCTGCCCAAGTCCACAAGTCCAACATTAACCCATATGTCCAACACCAATCCACAACGTCATCCTCCATCTCACAAAACAGATGCAATGATGCTGACTGCCGGAGGAAAGCTGAGGCAGTGAACATGTAAACATTTCAGCGCCGGCAGGGGTCTCCACATGGCTGCTCCAGCACCCAAGGCTGCATCAGGGTAGGTCTATGTGGCTTCTCCTCAGGGATGTCTTGCAGGAAGTGAGCCTTGCCCGTTGAAGCAGGGAACTGGCTAAGGCAGCTGCACCCTGGTCTGGCCATCAGAAAGCAAGAGACCCGAGAACTCAAAAGGCGAGGCTCACTGAGCCATTTATCCCTCCGCCTTTCAATTAACCCCACATGTGTTTATCAGCCAGGTTGGCACAATAAACTAACTACCTCACCAACTCATAGCAACCCCAGAAGGATGGGGTAGAACTACTCCCTGTGGGATTTAGAGACTGTAACTCTCAACAGGAGTAGAAAGCCTTGTATTTCTCCCTTGGAATGGCTGGTGGATTCAAACTGCTGAACTTATAGTTCGCCGGCGAATGCCTAACTCACTATGCCATCAAGGCTCCTATTTCCACCTCAGATATACTGAATTATAATATACATTTTTTAAAGACCGCACAGGTGATTCTTATGAGATTCCTATAGCTCTGAGATCTCATTAAAATGTAACTTCTGATTCTGTATATCTGGGATAGAAATGAGACTACTTTGCAGGGGATGGAACTGGAAGTAGCCGTTCAAAGCCCAGGGAATTTGTGAAAGTACACAGAACATGCATTCCATATAGTAACACAAGGACTTTTTCACCACTCATATGGTACACCCGGGAGTATTGGGAAATGGAGCTGAGCTGTGGAACTCTTGGTTATTTATCCTCTCTGGAAGCATCGTACACCATAGATGAATGATTGTAACCTGTCTGAATAATTTGACTTACATGCACCTGCCCATTTCATTTGGGGACAAGTCTGTAATTTAGTGGTTCATGGGTACAGAGCAGCATAGGACCAACTAAAAATAGATTTATAAAGTCCTCAATCTGTATATGTCACATGTGAGATTAAAAATGTTTCATTTTAACAGGTCATCTGCATAGAATTTTTTCACTCCTTTATAATACACAAGGGCACAATGGTAAGTAAATTCCTCTTTCAACTACCAACACAAGCTGCCTTGTTTATAGCTCGATGTTGGTCCTTGGAGACACATCAAGTGGAATTACTGCTCCCTGCAGATAGGGACTGGCTGTTTAACAGAGGTTCACATCCATGAGGCCACCCGAGTTTGAATAATACTAAAAGCACCTTTTCATCAACTCCCCAAGAGGAGACCCAGTCACAGGCCACCCTAAGTTCAATCGTTTTTTCAGTTCAATTTTGTCACTTTCTCATCCCAGCAATATTGTACACCCATAGCCTTGCTACATGCCCATGTCTCCAGGAAGTTTTGCATTCCCAAACGAATTCATAGCCGTGTTAGGGCTTCGGGAATCTTAGTTTGGCGTTCTTACTCTACAGCCAAGGAGTCTACTGGCAGGCAAAAGCAAGCACCCTCAGCCACAGCAACGGCATTCTCCCCTTGGAATCCTCCCCATCCTGGCTCCTCCATCATTCTGGCCTCCGGGTATATTTCTACTTTCTAGCCATCACCTAGAGTTTTTGTTTTGTTCCAGCCAACAGTGAAGTTCTACTTGGCATGCCCTATCATTTCCAAATGCCCTGAAATGACCCACTCTTAAATATCCATGTCACCCCTGGGTCTTCCATCAGTCAGACATAAGTGGCATCTTCTGTGTTTCCAAGGTGTTTTCTACCTGTTGACACCTGGTAGTTACTGGAATCCCGGGGTTGAGGGGAGCGTTTCTCTTCTGCTAGGAAGGCTGCTTCTTGTTTCTCTCTCTATCACCAGTTTCTACCATAGAGCTTGGCACAAATAACTGCCAAACCAAAACCAAACCAAACTCACTGCCATTTAGGGGATTCTGCCTGCCAAGCAAATGGGTAATGGAGAAGCCCAGAGGTAGGAAGGACTTAGCTGGGGTTTCTTCCAGCGCATGAACCCAGAATGCCTAAGTAAAACCCCCGTCCATATTTCTAAGATCTGAACTGTTATCTTAATGACATGTTTCTTTCTATGATGGCCATACAGTTTAAAAGAATACTAATTGGGTATCTGGTACCCATTCTGCCATTCGTCAGTTGGATGACTTGGGGAAGTGAGGCTTTTTCCCTGAGGACCTACAATCTCCCCTTTATTTCTAGGAGGTAGGCGGGGTACATTAGTTTAAGCTCCATGGCAATAGGTTTGGTTAGGTGTTTGGTTCAAATTTAAACCCGTTACATCCGGGCCCTTGAAATCCTCCCGACCTCCCTCCTGCCAGCACGTCTCCCTCTCAGGCCGGAGTCGCCTTTCCCCGGGGCCAGCGCCCGCGGGTGTGCGGAAGGTCCTCCTGACTCACGGCGGGGCCCCTCCTGCGAGCTGTCACCGAACGGCTCCGCCTGCGAAGGGCGGCGGCC